AAAATTGTAAAATTCTCTGATTAATTATCAGAATATTTGAAGACGAGGAGCAACGTGACTTGAACCCTAGATTTCGAGATTTGTTGAGAATTTGATTTGTCGAGAACTTGACTTGTTCGACACTTAAATTTTGGAGTTTTGATTTGCACTTCAAAACTTGGACTTGATTTGATTTGAAGAATACTTTGATTCTCTTGCGCTTGCTTGATTTGAAGAAAATTTTGATCTTTACTGTGTTCGTCGGGCTTGGACTCGAGATGATTTCTTCTCTTATTTTAGTTTTGAGATTTTTTCAGCACTTCGTGAATTTCTTCTGTACTTTCACTTTTTTTTCTTTCCTCCTTTGTAATGGATATTTGATCCTATTTATAGGGAAAATTTCTTATCAATTTTGGTAACCACTCATTTAATTCAATTAAATTGATTATAATTGAATAATTGTGGATTTTGAAATAATAGGATGGACTTTAGTAGGCTTTAATTTAGTAAACTTAATTGGGTTAGTTATTTAAATTGACACAACTCATTATTTATTATTTTATTTATTTATTTATTTTATGTCTACAGGGGTATAATATGAATAAATAAGTTTATCACTTTTTAAAAGGAATTAGTAAGATCGCTTAAAGTTAACTTGTTGGAGCATGGTTAAGAAACATGGTAATTAGTATGCCAAATAACCATTAGTTCTCTTGCATAATCATTTTTTTATTACATATGAAAAGTACGCTAAAATAAGATATCATCTCTTAGGGTGCGTTTGATTTTAAGGGTAGAAAATAGGTGGAAAGAAAATATTTTACAGGGAAAGATTTGCCTAGAAAATATTTTGCAGAGAAAATGATTTCAAGTGTGTTTGATTGGTATAATTTTCCACCCGAATTTTTTTTAAATTCTCTATTCGTTTGGTTTTGTTTTACACGAAAATTGTCCATTAACTTGATATTTTTTTTCCACAATTGGTTATAAAAAATTTTTCCATTGCCAAAAAGTAAAAAAAAGAGGGGGAAAAAATTGTTTCCTAAAAAATCATTTTTTTAATCAAAGTTTAGTATTCGTTTGACTTTGTTTTACATGAAAATTGTCCATTAAAGTGAAATTTTTTTTACCATTAGTTATGACATTTGTTTCCATTGCCAAAAACAAAAAAATTCCAGCAAGTCGGGAAAA